GCTACTTAAGCCTCAGTCTGCAAATGGGAAGACATATGGGGCAGAACCACAGCTGACCCATACACCGCCACGGAACTTGAACAAGAAATAAATGTTCTTTCTTGTAAGCAATTGAGATTTTTTATAGTGTTTGTTACAGCAGCATAAACTAATCAAAAATGATGAATACAGTTGGCTTTCATCTGGGCCCAGCCACTGGGAGACACTGGCAGGAGACTGGAGGGCATCAGGAAGGGAAAGAATATGTTTCCCCTTCTCTTTTTGCCCCAGGCAGCATCTCCAGCAGCAACTCTGTCTCCAGATGGGCAGGCCCACTGTGCTTCCAGCTTCAGACCACAGTCCCTGAGCAACTCCCTTTGGGTGACCCTGCCTCTTCCTCCTGCATAGTCCCTCTAGCCTGGAGATGGTGGTGGCTTCCTGCTGTTGCTAATCTGTATTCGGCTTCTCAGCTCTTCTATTACTTATTACCAATTCCTTGCATTAAAGTCCCTCTGTTTTAAACATTTTGAGTAGTTTTATCTGGTTGGACCTAGCTGATACATCACCCTATGTAAAAATTTTGGAGTAACTATTGATCACAAATGTCTCAAACTTTGTGGATTTTTTTTGTAAAGAAAGATATATTTAATTATACCATTTTTTTTACCGTCTTAACCATTTTTAAGTGTACAGTTCAGTGGCATTAAGTACATTCATATTGTTGTGCAATCACCACACCATTCATCTCCAGAACTTTTTTCTCTTCCCAAACTGAAACTCCATTAAATAACTCCACATTCCCTCTTCCCCTCAGCCCTTGACAACCACCATTCTACTTTCTGTGTCTATGAATTTAACTACTCTAGGTACTTCGTGTAAGTGGAATCACACCATATTTGTCATTTTGTGACTGGTTTATTTCACTCAGCATAATGTCTTCAAGGTTCACCCCTGTTGTAGTGTATGTCAGAATTTCATTTCTTTTTCAGGCTATCAGTCCATTTTAGCCAAGATGCTTTGACTTCACTAACAGAAAACCCCAATTTAACTGGTTTAAATTCTAAGGAATTTACTATCTAACTCAATAAAAGGTTCCAAAGGCAAAGTAACTCCAGGGTTGGTTAAGTCAATAACTCAAAGTTATCTTAAAAACTCAGATTCTTTCCCTCTTTCTGCTTTGCTGATCTCTACATGTCAGCTTAGTTCTCAGGCAAACTCCCCTGGTGATTGATGCCTCATAAGAGGACTGTGGCTGCTTTAGCCATTTGTATTAGTTGCCTTTTGCTAGATTAAGCTGCTATAACAAACAACCCCCTGTCTCTGTGGCTTCAAACAATAAGCATCCAAAAGTATACTCTCTTTTTAAGAGAAAGTAAACTTTTTCCAGAAACCCTCTAGCAGCCTTCTAGCTCATTTAAAACTCATTCTTTGAAGGCAGTGGAGGGTCTAGCTGCCCTGAAGCAAAGGTAAGCAGAGACGAGTAGATTCCTGAACAAAATCAGGATTCTTTGAGAAAAGAGGAAGTAATATGCTATTGGGCAGGCTACTAGCAGTGTTTGCTATAATACTCAATACCAAGTCATCATTTTTCTCATCTTCTGTCCCAACCAAATTATCTCAGTCAATGACATACCATTCAACAAGTTGTTGTAACCAGAAACCTAGAAATCATGCTCCAACCCATCTCCCTCGTCTTCTACTCCACCCAACCAATGGTCAAGTCCATCGATTCGATCTTGAATATAGCTCCATAATTACTCTTCTCTTTTGCCACCCAAGCCCAGAGCAACACCATCATCTTCCACCTGGGCTATTGCAGCAGCCTTCTCATTGTTTTCCCTGCCTCTAGTCTTGCTGAACCTCAATTCAGGTTCCAAGCTGCTAACAGAGCCACTTTTTAAGGCAATTCTGATTATGCCACTTTCCTGCTAAAAACCTTTGTTAGGTTTCCCACTGCTCTTAGGAAAAAGTTCAAACCCGATACGCGGTCTTCCAAGGCCCTCCACCATTTAACCCTGACCGTGTCTCTGGTTTCATCTCATAATAATCCCTTTCTGGCCTCTATCTTGTCCCCTTCACTTTATTAACCCCTTCTCAATCTTTAGGTCACAGGTTAAGGGTCACTTCCTTGAAGAGGTTCTCTGCTCCCATAATGCAATGCCCTATATGTCCTCTGTCACTCTACTTATCCAAATTTATTGTAATTATTTGTGGAAGTCTGTCTTCCCTTCAGACTATAAGTTCTGTGAGAGCCAGGACCATGTCTTTCTAAGCGCCACATCCCTACCACCTAGCACAGAGCATGGCCACAACAAGTGTTAAATAAAACTGAGTCACAGATTTGAAAGTTTTCATGTTATAGGACCTATAGGTGGTATTTGACACCAAATATATACACAAGATAACTTAGGGAGAGGACATCTCTAGAGAAACAGAACATGAGAAGTAAGAAAGACAATGATGATTAAGATAAAGAGATGAAGAGAAGGCTAAGGAGGAGAATGACAAATGAGTGGCCAGAGTAGTAGGAAGAATGTCAGAAGAGAAGGCAGTCACAAGCCAAAGAGAAGGGAGTGCGAGGAAATTGGAGGTACCGACCGGGTCACCCACAGCAAAGAGGACAGGACGCCGACTGAAAGGTGTCATTGGATTTGGGTACAGAGCAAGAAAGATAATGTCTGAGAACAGTGTGGCTCCTCTTTTGTCAAATATACTTAAGAAGGTATTTTCCCCCTTCTTTTCATTAATTCCTCTGTCCACTGGTCCAGCAAAGATTCATTAAACACCTACTCTAGGCCAGATACTGGGCTAGGCCCCAGGAGACAAGAGAAATAGAACAAGGTCTGCCTGGGCCTGTGGGGCTCACCTTCCTTGTCTGCAAGGGAAAGTTACCAAGCACTGACTTGTACCCCAGCAAGGCCAGGGCTTGGTGTCTTACTGGAGTTGGTACTGATTGGCTCTCTGAACACATTCAATGAAACAAGAGCTAGTGCACCAGTCCAGATGTCAGCAAGACTTTATTATTTTGCTCTGAGCTGGCAGGAAGCAAAAGAGAAAGTATGTGTGCCACATTATTGCATCATTTCTGTTTGTTCATAAGTCAGTCACAGATGAGATTCTGGGTTTTTCCAAGAAAACTAGTTCCATCTTCTCAAAGACAGAAAACTGAGAGAGCAGTTCAATCAAAAGAGCATCCTTTTAAAAAACTCTCTCAACTTGATTCTAATTAGTATTCACTTTGCAGAGATTCCTTTACCTTTCAGTAATACATTGTTTTACTGACTAAACTATTGCTCTATTTTTTTTCTGCCCTTGTGTTCTATAGTAAAACAATGTGGTGTAGTGTTCAAAATGTCAGTGAATCATGGCCTTCTGAAAATGAATGGGAGTTTGGATAGAGACAAGGGAGGGACATTCTTTTTAACTAATTAGAAAATTATCTTACTAGGTTTTCATATAATGCAGGGAGCATCTCATTTTATATAATAGACATTGTTTTAAAAAAAAGAGTTTAAATTAAAATGTCCACATTACCTTCAATGCCTTAGAAAAACAAGATTATTTAAAGAAACCCAGCCCATCAAAATTTTTAAATAAAATTTTTATTTTTATTGAAATAATCATTATTATATAAGCAAATTAGTGAATAATCATTTCCTGATTTCTAACTAGGATTTTGAAATATACCTTTTTTTTCTTTTTTGGATTTTTTTTCCCCTCCCCAAAGTGCCAGTACATACACAGTTGTATATTCTAGTTGTAAGTCCTTCTAGTTCTTCTGTGTGAACTGCCGCCACAGCGTGGCAACTGACAGACAAGTGGTGTGGTTCCACACTGGGAACCAGGCCTGGGCTGTGGAAACAGAGCAGTCGAACTTGAACCACTAGGCCATCAGGGTTGGCTCTATATTTTTTTCTTTTTGGTGAGGAAGATTGGCCCTGAGCTAACATCTGTTGCCAATCTTCCCCATTTTGCTTGAGGAAGATTGTCCCTGAGCTAAGATCTGTGCCAATCTTCCTCTATTTTGTATATGGGTCGCTGCCACAGCATGGCTTGATGAGCAGTGTGTAGATCCAAACCTCCGAACCCTGGGCTGCCCTTGAAGAGCCCACGAACTTAACCACTATGCCTCAGGCTGGCCAGTATACTTTTTTTTTTAACATATAGGATTGGGGAAGTAAGTGATGCAATTATCTGCCCACAGCCTCAATCAGACTTTAGTTTTTGGGGTCTGGCCTGACACGATGGAACAGAAGTAGAAAAACAAGCTCCAAGGAGCTTATGCCTGAGAGGAACGTCCTCCAGGGACTCTGAGCTCATGCCTGGACTTTCCCGATGCCTCCATCTGCAATCCCTGGGGACCCGCGGTGGGCTGGGCAAGGAAGTGGCATAAGTGCTTACAACAAGCCAGGCTCCTCCTCCAACTCTTTACGTGTATCAGCTCAGCTAATCATCCCAACAACCCAAGAAATAGTTATCTCCATTTCCCAGATGAGAAACTGAGTCAGAGAGGTTAACAGCAATTTGCCCAACGTTATACAGTAGAAAGCGGAGGAGCTGGTACCTAGCTGGTAGCCATTTCGGGTGCCAGTAATACGCCTCAAGCTTAAATGGATCAGAAAAATGCCCACCTTTAGGACCGCAGGCAGGGCCCGTCTGGCGAAGCAGGTGACTTACAAACACCTTTTGAGATAAGGAATTACTCTTCGGAGAAGGGTGGGTGTGCGAGAGTCAAAGGTGAGTTCCAGTGTGCGTGGTGGGGGAGAAGTCGGCAGTCAATTCCTAGCTGGTCCAAGCCGAGAACCTGCGCTTTTCCCCTCGTCTGTCAGAGGCCCAAAGCCCTCTGGCTCAGCCAGAAGAACAGAGCCGCAGCCGCCACCAGCCACGTGGCCCAGCCTGGGAGCCAGGGGGGCGGTCCGCGAAGGCGGGGCCCGAGGGGGCGGGGCTCGGGTGCGGGGACGCGGGGGCCGGGCGGAGTGCGCCTGCGCGCGGGGTGGGCCCGCCAGCGCGAGCCGCGTTAAAGGCCGCTCTCCGCCCCGCTCACTGGTCCAGTCGCCACAGTGCGCAGGCGTGGAGGTCGCTCCTTGTCGCTGCGCGCCGCGTGTGGGCTTGTGGCTCTGTGGCACCTCGTCTCGGGCACCATGAGCGGCTTCAGCAGCGAGGAGCGCGCCGCGCCCTTCACCCTGGAGTACCGAGTCTTCCTCAGTGAGTATCGGCGGCCCGCGGCCCCTCCCCGCCCGCTCGCCCATTCATTCCTGGCCTCGCCCTGCGTCCCGCCAGGGTGGCTGCGGCCCGCGCTCGACCCCTTGTCCCGGTCGCGGGCGGGGCTCCTCCAGCCGGTCCCCGGGGCCTAGGCAGGCCCGGCCTTCTTGTCTCTCACGTCCCGCTCGCGGGCGAGACGGCGTGGGTCGGCGTTCCTCTTTCCTACGCTCTGTTGGACCCGAACTGGGTCAGGCTAGTTTTACAGGTGTCCAACTCAGGCAGTGTCTAATGGGAAAAGGAAAACCACTGAGTCACCCCAGAAAGGTGCCTGGAGGTAAACTAATCCCCGTAAGAGGATTGCTTAAGTTGGAGGTACGTGGGGGCCAGCGGGGGGTGAGTCCCTAAAACCTTAATTCCTTCACTGTATCTCAGATTGTGGGCACTGAGGAGGGTCAAGTCCAGCCCCTAGTTCTGCAGACAGTGAAACTGAGCTGGATCAGGAGCGGTCAGTGGAGGACTGGACCCATCCCTCGGGGATCCGGGTAGCGCTCCTGCCTCCCCACCGCGTGTTTTCCCGTAGCACTGATGCTAGGAATGCGCCTTATGAAACAGAAAGCTGTTCCCCTCCAGTCGAACAGGTGACGTCAATCTGGGAAGCAGAGTAAGAAGGCCAGGTTTTCACCCATGTGCAGGGAATCGGCGTCAAAGGGGTGCCTCCTCCAAGTCCGCACCTAGAACTGCACCAGGAGCCGAGGAAGCTGCAGGCTGGGGGCGCTCGGCTTTCCTTGGCGCACCGCCTTTTGCCTTGTAAGTGGAGGAAAGCTACCTCGGGTTTATCTTTATCCTCTACTCCCAGCCCCCAAGCTACTGGGAATAGATTACTAGAGATAACTGAGGTGTTCGAAAATGTGTCACCAAAGGCGTTTCTGTTTTAAATTCGTTACAGATTTATTCGGAAAGAAATGGGAATTCAAGTTCTGTGTGTGAACGGCAGGAAGGCGGGGGGGTAGAGGCACGAATGAGAATACTGAAGAATGAGCAAAGCTCCTAGCAAAAAGTAGCCTGATGTAGGAGGAAGAGGAAAGGGAACTCTAAAGTTAACACATGCAGCTAAAGATCAGACTTCCATGTAGAATCCAAGAAGGGTGGAACTCCCCGTTTTATTTCAGGATTAAGCAGCAAGAGCAGTGCAGGAACTTTTGAGGAATAATTCACTGGACTGTTTTTTCTGGAGTTAGTGTTGGCCCCAGAATTTCTCTATAGGAGGGATTTAGGTGACTGGGAATTGAAGGTGGGGCGTGATTTGGGTAATTGCCCTCAGGCTGTATTTGCAGAGCAAACACAGTTTTTAGTTATGTATTGGTAGCGAGCATTCGATAGCCATTACAGAAGACCAAAGCCACTCCTTCCTTGTCTTTGGCGCTAAAGTAATTATTATTATCTATCAGATGGAACTCTCTAGAACTTAAGAAATACTGATAATTAAAACCAGCTATATAATTTTATAATTTTAAGTTTCGTTTGTTTTCTTTCAAATCATAGATTTCTTAGCCTCTTTCCTTAATAGAAGATTTTTTACCTCTATGATGTTACGTTTGCCAGGCTTTTTATAATTTTATTTATTTATTTATTTTTCCCCAAAGCCCCAGTAGATAGTTGTGTGTCATAGTTGCACATCCTTCTAGTTGCTGTATGTGGGACGAGGCCTCAGCATGGCCAGAGAAGCGGTGCGTCGATGCGCGCCCAGGATCTGAACCCCGGGCCGCCAGCAGCGGAGCGTGCGCACTTAACTGCTAAGCCAGGGGGCTGGCCCTGCCAGTCTTTTTAAAACTGATAGTGGGTGGACCGCAAAGTCACAGTTGACTCTGAAGGGACCATTATGGGATTGGGGGCGGTCACTGTTAAATTTTTCCTATTCCACTTTGGTTTTTAAACCTGAAGGGATGCAATGTGGACTGACCCTTAGGTTTCTTAAAGAATAGTAAAGAAGTTTTAAAATTACTTTTTGGATATGGTAGTTAGGTCTCTAGAATACAGAAATTACCTGTGAAAGTGTTGTTGCACCTTGTTTATCCTTAAGAAAAACCATAATCTAAGATGGCTCTGTCTTCCTGGAAAATCACTTAAAGCAACATGGTTTCTAATTCAGCAAATTGGTCTCCTCCTGGAGCCCAAGTATTTCATTAGTTCCGTAAACTGTTAACTGATGTAACATCAACCCAACACAATTTGATCACCTTTTGTATACCAGGTGTTGGTGGGCTCTGGGAATATAAAGGTATCTAAGGCAGTCCCTACCCTCATTATAGATGTCAGTACTTGTTAGACGCCTGCGGAATGCATTGGATGAAAACCTAACCCAATCTCCGAGAGGTGAGGAAGGTGAAGAATATAAGGAGGGAGGCTGTGCATGTGTGGGAGCAGGGAGTATATGGGAAATCTCTGTAGCTTCTCAATTTTCTTGTAAACCTCAAACTGGTCTAAAAAAATAAAATCTCTTAAAAAAATGTGTACTTCACACATCTGGAAATGTAATTAACCAAAAAAAGTAATAACTTTTTCTAATTCATTTTGCAGAAAATGAAAAAGGACAATATATATCTCCATTTCATGATGTTCCAATTTATGCTGATAAGGTAAGATGTCCTTATCTTTTAAACATAGTCTCTTTACTCAGATCAGTTAGTTCCACACAGGGATTTTCTTAATATGTCTTAACAAGTGCTTAACATGCCTCATTATGCTGTGAGTTAAAGGGGCATTGACTAAATAAGTCAGTCCTAAATCCAGATTATTTGGTTAAAGAAGCAACTATAAATTGGAGGAGTAGAGAAACGGAAGTAAATGTTTTTAAAACTTCCTTGGTTAAAAAAAAAATCAGATTGGTCATTTCTGTATTTGTATGTGAAACTAAAATCTTAGTACTTCATAAGTGGTTTTAAAATTAACCAGGTGTTATGAGAGGTTTGGGGATTCAATCGGAGACGTAAAAGAAACTTTCCACTCCAAACAAATGGACTGAGGGTATATTTTATTATATAGAGGATAGTAAAGGCGATAGTCCGCAAACAGATCCGGATAGGTCAAATAATAAGAGGGAAAAGACACCAGCTCGACTGGAAAGGGAAAACATCCACATCGGCTGAGATAGCAGCAGATCCGAATAGGTCATATAATAAGAGGGAAAAACATCAGATCGATCGGAAAGAGAAACACCAGATCGACTGAAGGGAAATGACACAAATCAACCGAAAAGAGAACACATCAGATCAATTACTTCACAGTAAATCAATTACTCACAACATCCACGCCCCACTGCCGGGAGAGTCCTGTCAATCGACACGGCTGGGCAAGGATCACACGTCCTGGGCAAGGCGTCCCTTCCACAGGTGGAACTCTCACCAGGTCTCAGTCTCCAGCAGTTTATATAAGCAGTTACAGAGTTTACAGAGCAAGCATCCAGTGTTCCCATGCACCAATGGTTATCAGTGGTGTACGTGCACTGAGCCCCTTGGCTAACGTCCCAGCCCAGTAGTTGTGTACGTGCATTGTTCTCTTTGGTTATCGTCTTAGCCTGGCACAGATGGCCAGTCCATCCCGTGGTACGACGCTCCCAAAGCCTTGAAATGTTACAACTTGCGACTCTCTCCGTGGGAGAAGGGCCAGTTCCCACCACGCAGAAAGCAGCTTTTATATTTCTTTTTGTGCTGGTGGCTGTAGGTCAATGGAGCGGCCAAACATGGCTGTACTCATGTCAAGACACCAGGTAGCCAGCACAAAATTTGGGCTTTGGGATATTTATTAAATGGTAAAAATAAACTAGATTATTTAGTGAATACAGGAAAATTCAGTACTTTCAGTGGACTGGTAAAGATCTGCAAATAGTGTTAATAAAGGTAAGTCCACAAACTTTTCAAGAGATGTCTCTTCCTATAGACGCTAGTGAGCTGAGGAAATCTAACTTGAGCACAAATTGGTAGGTTTACCCCAAATTGGTAAGAATATTTACTTTCCTAGGAAAAAAGTCTACAAGTCTACATTCCAAAATCTTTGATTCTTGGGAGGTAGATTGCTAGTGACTTTTTTGTTTTTATTTTCATTTTTGCCTTTTTCATATTTTCTAATCTTTTTACAAAGAGCATGTATTTGTACAACTTTTAAATAGTTATTTTTTTAAAAAAGCATAGCTTGTTTTATCCTCTTTCCCAAGAGAAGTTTGTGCTGTATTTAGGAACTGATACAAGGACAAATGTCTGATTCTTTTTTATACCTTTAAAAAATTTTTTTGTTCAACCAGGAAGCTTGATTCACAGTGAGTACAAATCTTTTTGAGTCGTAAAAGCTGCATAGGTTTTTGATCTTCCTTAGCTAGATGTTGGTCCATAATACATGTGAACCTCATGTCCCAGTGCACGTCTGGAATAATAGTATAGATGTCTTATCCTTGCATGTGCTGAGTCTTATTGTTTTTTTGTGCTTGACTATCAGAAATAGACAAATTCATTATACTTCTACCGGGAAGTTGGCTGCATTTCTGTAATGACACTTAGCCATTGGCAGGAAATCAAGCCTTCGTAAGCCGGCCTGAGCTGGGCTCCAGCTGTAGGCAGTGGTGCAAACAGCCTGAGGCCAATTATGTGCCACAATTACAGCAGGGACCTCTAATTAGTGTGTTCTCCTGTGGGAGTCTCAACATTGTATTTCTTCAGAAACTCTAATTTGTTACATCTGATTTCCGGGGAGTTGATATGAACTGTAGGATCCTTCTTTCCTCTTGAATTGGCATCGTTTGGTTGGCTTGAGTTATCTGCTTGTTGTATAATAGGTATGTATGTCAAAGTACTTAACAGTCACTTCTGACCATTTTGAGTAATGAAGAGGTATGAAATGATGACCCTAAGTTTGGTGGTGGTACCTTGGCATACAGATGTGCTAAGGAAGCACATATAGCTTTTTTTTTGTGCGTTCATGGTGTCTTTGTCTGTTTGGGCTGCTGTAACAGAATACCATAGACTGGTAGCTTATATACAGCAGAAATTTATAGCTCACAGTTCTGGAGGCTGGAAGTCTGAGATCAGGGTGCCAGCATGGTTGGGTGAGGGCCCTCTTCTGGTCGCAGACTTCTAGCTGTGTCCTTATATGGTGGAAGGGGCTAGGGATCTCCCTGGAGCCTTTTATAAGGAACTAATCCCATTCATGAGAGTTCCTCCTCGTGTTTTAAGCACTTGGCAAAGGTCCCACCTGCTATACTATCACCTTTGAGGGTTAGGATTTCAACATATGAATTTGGGGGGACACAAACATTCAGACCATAGCTATAAGCTATAAGTGACAATATTTCTAGCCAGGGACCGGAATGATCATAGCAGTTGTGGTGTCTAATCTTATTGCTGCTTCAAGTTACCCCCAAACAGGAAACTGAAACTACCTTTTGGTGTTGTGTAAAACGTGTTCACTTAGATTACTCTAAAAGTTGTGTGCGGAACTGGTTGTGTCTGTAGTCTGGGGTTACTCAAATGAAGACCCTGGGCTGGCTCAAAAGCACAAACTCTTGCAGCAACTCTGGATTTCACCAGCAGTCCAGACCTCAGTGAACTTCAGCACTAAAGATTCCTGCCTGAGAGGCAGGAACGAGTTCTTTTGTTTTTAAGGAAGTTTAGTTTATACAAAACACAAATGAAGGTGTGTTACACAGAAATTATTTTGGGTTACAGCCTAAATAAAAGATCTGATTAATTCCATTAGTTAGAAAAGAGGGTGATTTTTAAAAATTCCAATGTGATTAAGTTTACATAAATAATTTTGTGTGTGGCCATAGACTTTATCCCTAATATGATCGGTCATTTGAGGGGTGATAGTGAGGGAATGTACCTTTAAAACAACTCAGCTCTACTAAGGAAAAATGCCCAAAGGCTTATATTCTACTCCACATTAGGATCTTTCAATGTGGACAGCATTCGATTTGGTATATATGCTATTAGGTAATCAATCCAGCCGATTCTGGAAATCCTTGTGACTCAGATACCCTGCTTGGATTATTTCCAAATCCATTAGGTGGAAGAAGGCAAAGGCAGAGACTCACTGGATTTTTTTGTTTGTTTTTGTGAGGAAGATCCGCCCCGAGCTAACATCCGGTGCCAATCCTCCTCTTTTTTTTTTTTTTTTTTGGTGAGGAAGATTGGCCCTGAGCTAACATCCGTGCCCATCTTCCTCTACTTTATATGGGACGCCGCCACAGCATGGCTTGACAAGCGGTGCGTTGGGGCACGCCGGGATCCAAACCTGCAAACCCCGGGCCGCTGCAGCGTAGGGCAAGCATTTAAGTGCTTGCACCACTGGGCCGGCCCTGGATTTTTTTTTTTTTTCTTTTTTAATTGTAGGGTTGTCTTTTGCTCTGGGTCTATTTTGGGATCAAATATAAAAACACCTGTAGCTCAGAGTGTCTTCCAATGTAAAACTTCAGAGAGAACAAATTTTAAAAATCCAGAACACAGCATAAACAGTGTGGAACAGTGGGTAGATTCAAGCTTTTTCTAAATCTTAAAGTGCTCAAATATCATGACTTGGTATTTTAATTTTAGAAGTTTGGTATTTTTCTATTCTATAGCTTAAACTCTGATGTTAAATACTAGTTCTAACAATGTAGGCCTTTTGTTTTTTCAGGTGACCGTTGGGAGGACATAAATATGGAGCTATGTTTCCTCTTTAAAAAAAAAAAAAAAAAAAAGTCAAGCTTCTAATCAAATAGGTTGATGCTTCAGGAGTTTAACAGAATGTTTTCTGCAGTTGTGTGTCATTCTTAACTGTTTAAAGAGACTATCTCACTGTACCTGAAACTTTTAGAGAAGATGCACTGCTCAAGTGGGTGCTTTTTAGATAGCTCACTTCCTTACAGGGTTGCTTCGTTTTGAATTTTCTGTCTTTTTACAGGCAGTTCCATAAATGGAAGTTTTTGAAATGTTACTAAATTAATAATTTAAACACTGTTGGTCTTCCCCAACTTTATATATATATAGAATGGTTGGGTTTTCTGGAGGTTTTTGTTTTATCTTTTGGTTTTGCATTTTCTAAACCAAAGTTAGAACTGGGAACATAGATGAAAACTGAAAGCGAACATAATTGACATGTCATGGCTAAGAATAAGCTCCTGTTTGTTCCTCTCAGATGAGCTTTTTTTTTTTTTTTTTTTTTTTTTTTTTTTTTTAAAAATTTTTTTTTTTTTATTTTTTCCCCCCAAAGCCCCAGTGGATAGTTGTGTGTAGTAGCTGCACATCCTTCTAGTTGCTGTATGTGGGACTCGGCCTCAGGATGAACGGAGAAGTGGTGCCTCGATGCGCACCCGGGATCCGAACCCGGGCCGCCAGCATCGCAGCGCGCGCACTTAACCACCAAGCCACAGGGCCGGCCCTCAGATGAGCTTTAAGGTGACTAAATTTGAAAGCAGATATTCTAACCATAATTTCTGTGGTTTATCAGTTTTGTCAAAAAGGTAAAGTTGCGATGATTCAAGATGTGTATGATGTGCAGCCATGATGCCTGGCTTATCGTAAAGTCTCAATACAAAATAACCAAGAAGATAAAAATAGGATGATGACGTTGACCACAATGACTGGTTATTTCTGAAGCCTTTTGGGGC